TCCGTCCCTCGTACTTTTAACGTTCCTTACCGCATCCACCATTTTTTTATCCGCCCCGACTATTTCTCTTACCTTTAGTAATGCGTCTTTGTATTGTCCGTTATTTTCTTTTACTATTATCCCAAAAGTCTTCCTTTCTCTCCGGGATCCCTCCTTCTCGTCGTCTTTTCTCCTTCTCGTTGTAAAAATACCGACCTTTGTTTGTGTGCCGTTGAATACCGCTTCGCATATTTTCTTTAGCCTGTTAGTTGGTATTTTTTCTATATGGTGCACCGCTATCCTTTTCGCCTCCTTAAACTCCTCTCTGAGCCTACAAAGATTTTTCCACACACTATCGATGGTTCCGTCATGGTGTATCTTAATGATAATTTTCCGTACTTCCTTTCTCGACGACGTCCTATATACAGTGCACTGCTCCATCACTTCAAACTCCTCCTTTAGTTCACTGATGCTAGGAAAATTTTCCCTATATAATCTCTGTATACTTTTTGTCATCTCCACGTCCTCCGGTTCCACCATGACCACTTTTATGACGTCATCATCCGTCAATATGGGATTCCCCACCACCACTTCTGTGTTTGTGTAGACTTCATCGGCCCATTTTCTCTCCAATACTTCCTTTAGTTTTTCAACAGTGTCCGTTCCCTCTAGCGAATATATCACTTCCTCCTCTCCTGTTTGGGTTCCCATTTCCCGCGTTTCCCGCGTTTCCCTTTTCTTAACTCCTTCCTTTCTCTCTTCCTCAGTCTGGGTATCAGCCTCGTGAGTCATTCTTTCGACCTCCTTGTACCTGATTTTTCCCATAAGCTCCTTTATAACATCCCTATCAAATGTTGCTACAGTGTACTTCATTTTAACGGCAAGCTCCCTTATGCCTTTCTGTGTGTTCGGTGTATCCTTAATCCTTCTATCCAGCTCCTCTGTCAGTCTTGTTGTCCTCTCAATCGTTTCTATTAGCAGTGCTGCTACCGAGCATTCGGTTCTCTTGTACGGGCTCTGTCCCTTCTCTTCTGTAAAAGAAGCATCCAGTTTTTTCCGCTTTTTTGCCCCCTCCCCAAAAGTAAGTGAGTTACACCTTCTGACCGATTCTACCGACGTATTCAATCTGCTGAAAGGAAGCGGTTTTCTTCCCTCCATTCCTACCTCCTCCTCTGTTAAGTTGATTGTTTCTGTCTCCTCCTTCTTCTCTCCTCTCTCAGTTTCCTTTTTTTTAGTTATTTTAGGTTCCATTAAGTTCCCACGAGTAGGGCCGAAATAACAGTCCGCCGGGGCAGTGCGCCCGTACCCCGGTAAGGCTACGTACTCCGGGAGGTTGCCCGGTATCCCGGAGGCTCCGTTCGTGACCAACTAAACGCATGGCCATTCACCCTTCGGCACGGGTCGCGTGACACCTTGGGTTGCGGCCCATTAATTCCAGTTTTTGTTTCAGGCGCCGGAAGCTCGCCATAACCCTTCTCCGTTGGCTCCGAGACGTACTCCCACAGCACGCCCCGGATTTCCAGGGACCACCACGAGGAGGTGGAGATAGGATTTGCCGGTTCGTCCACACAGGACTGCGGGCTCAGCGTTTTATTGCACGGTAAGTATGGGCACCCTACCGCACCTACTGAGACCCACTGGGTCAGCCCAGACCCAAAACCCGGCCATTTGGTCCCCACCCTACCCTACCCTACCCTTTTTTTTTTTTTTTTTTTTTTTTTTTTTTTTTTTTCCCAGGAGAAAATGCATTATGCACACCCAGCGGTTGGTCGACTGGGTAGTGTGGGACTCCCACCCACTAAAAACTCCTGGGGGCGCCAGCCAATGGTTTCACTTTGTGGCATCTGGAACCATCCTCTCGGATATATCTTCAGATGCCACGGGCGTTCCTACAAGTGCCTCTATTCCTCTTCACGTTCGCACTGCTGTCTAATTCTCTCTTCCTCTTCCTTTTTCTTCATGATTTCTGTTATGAAGTCCATGATAATACTCCAGTTTCCTGGACACTCCATCATAATTGGAACCATGTTTTCCATATTGATTTCCCTTCCCAATGCCAGCCTCAACTTCAATCTGCTGTCTCCCCATCTTTCACACTGTACCATGGTATGCTCTACCGTGTCAGATACCCCGCAGTATGCACAGTTGTCTCCTATATCCTTACCTATTCTTTTCGTATACACTCGGAAGGATCCGTGTCCGCTCAGGATTTGCGTGAGGTAATAATTGATATTTTTGTGTCTACAGTCCACCCACTGTGTGATGTCTGGAATCAGTTTTTTTGTGTGTTGTGCTACGTCCGTTGTCTCTGCCCATTTTTGCTGCCATTTTTTAATGGTTCTGGACCTCTCCTCCCCTCTAGTAGCTTCAGTTATTACCTCCGTTTTCCTCCGAGTATACGTCCGGTACCTTTCTTCCACTAACAGTTCAATGGGGGGTATTGCAGCGATCACGTTTAGTGCTTCTGAAGAGATGGTGCTATATGCGCTTATGGTTTTAATCAGCATTTTTCTTTGCATGCCCCTTAGCATGTTCCTGTATTTTTTAAAACCCATAGCTTTGTGCCATATGGGCGCTCCATATAATAGAATCGAGTGGACTACCGAAGATAGCACTCTCCTCTTTTCGCTGCTGGGGCCATCGATTCTAGGCATAAGACTAGCTAGAGCGGCATATGAACGATAGGCTTTTTCTACGGCCATCTTGACGTGCTGGTTGAAATATAGCTTATCGTCTATGTAGATTCCTAGACACCGGACCACTCTGGATGGCCGGAAGTCGTAGTTTCCGATCGTAAAAACTATGTCATCCCTTTTTCTCCGTCCTTTAAAAACGACTGCCTCTGTTTTCTCTAAGGCGAGGGTGAGGTCTTCCGAGACCATCCAGAAGTTAATCCATTCTAGGACCATATTCACTTTATTTATAAGGTCTCCCCTGGTGTTCGATTCGACGATTAAGCTTAGGTCGTCAGCGTAAGCTACGGTCTTACAGCCTGGCGGTAATTCCATCTCCAGCACCCCATCGTACAGGATATTCCACAGGACCGGTCCGAGAACCGAGCCCTGCGGAACACCCTGCTCCACCGGGATGCTTGTGTTCCCCGTAAAAATCGTTCTATTACCAAAATAGCTTCGTATTAGGTTAATCAAATACCTAGACACTCCCTTTTCTTCCAGTTTACGTAGGATTCGGTCCCATTTCGCGGTATTGAAGGCGTTCTTGATATCTATACACACGAGGGCAGCCCACTCTTCTCTGCCAGTTCTCAATATTTCTTCGACGGCCTCGACAGTAGATTTGCCACTCTGGAATCCATACTGATGCGGTGATAGGGTTACTTCCTCTTCCAGCCTTATTTTGATTAGTTGTTCGAGCAGCTTTCCTAGAACGTCCAACAAGCAGATGGGTCTGAACTTTCCATCCTTCGGATCTCCTTTAGGGATAAGTATTACTTTCGCCCTCTTCCACGTGTCCGGGTATTTCTGACTTTTAAGGATGGTATTATATACGGTCAGTATTTCTTCCGGTATCACCTCCACCGCTAATTTACATGTCTCAGCCGTAATCCCGTCCGATCCTGGGGCTTTTCCATTCTTTAATTTCTTAGCCGCCTGCACTAGTTCCTCTCTGGTAAAATCCTCATATTGATCCGTAATGCCCCCTCCTGCTACATTAGTTTTCCATCTTGGAAAAAGATCTTTTACTATTTCTAATTTTTTAGTATGGTCTAAATTATATGGGGAAGTCTGCTTTTTTAACCCCCTTGTAGCAATCCTGTATCCCTCTCCCCAAACATCGTTGTCTATTTCCTTACACTTTTCTCTCCACTTATCTCTTTTAGCCTTGTTTATTAGCCGTCTATACTCTTTTCTTGCTTCGTTATATGCTTCTAAGAGACTCCTCCACTGTTCTTCTCTTACCCCATTTCTCCGTCTAGCCCTTTGGGTATCTCGTCTTGCCCTGTTACACCTCATCCTGGCATCCTTTACATCGTCATTCCACCAGTAAGGTTGTGTTTTCCTTCCTTTCCGCTTTCTGCCTTCACATTTCTTTTGTGCTGTTCCGAGAACCCTGACCATTTTTTTGTATGCACCATCGATTTCATTTCCCATTTCCTTCAACAGACTCCTAATTTTGGTTTTGTCTATTGCGTCGGCTTGCACGGTGGACATGTTCTCCCTCTTTTTATTCGCTCCTCCTTTGTAGAGAGCCTCCATTAAGATAAATCGATGATAACTCAGCGATTCCTCGTCCAGAACTATCCATGTTTTAACAGAATCTATACCCTTCTCATTACACAGAGTTATATCGATTATCGTTTCGGAGGCACCTCTGACAAAGGTAGGAGTTTTTCCATCGTTCCTTACATGTAGGTGTAACGCGGCTATCCACTCTTCCATGTATTTTCCCCTCAGATCTTCCTTCCCGGGGCTCCATAGGTAGGATTTTGAGTTGAAATCTCCAGCAACGATTACCTTTGATTTCCTGTCCTTCTTCACATCCTCCATAACGCTGTCTACATATGTCCTGTAAGACTCCATGCTGATATTGGGAGATACATAGCAGTTGTATATAACCCATTCTTGTAGGTAAATCTTAATATACCCCCTATTACTCCTATGTTCCCGCACCCCCACGTTTTTGTTTCTGAATTGGACTGCAACCACCTCCTCTTTATCCATTATTAGTCCTTTTCTTTTCGATAGATTTATATTGGGTTCTTGATATAGTACTATATCGACTCTCTTATTTTCAGCGGTCGCTTCCGTCACATCATGGGATCTTCGGGATCTGCCTACGTTTATTTGGAGGAGTTTCATCACGTTGGAACAGGTAAATATAAAACAGGTAAGTATAAACAGGTAAGTATAAACAGGTACGTATAGACACTAGATAAGTACAGATAAATAAATAAATAAACAAAGTAGGTATAAATAGGTAGACTCGATATTAAATAAAATATGTATAATAAAAACCTTATGTATAAGTATATGTATATATCACAGTAGGAACTATCACAGTTATATCACAGATTTGTTTACAGGTTGTTCATTCTTTCCCTGATCTATATCTGATTTTTCTTCGCCTTGTCTTTCGCATTCCATGTCCTTATGCTCTTGTATGTCTTCGTCTATCTTAGTTCCTGCGGTTTCAGTGTTATTTTCGCCCTGGTCCTCTCGGCTTACACTAGGCCTACTTAGAGTCCTTCGGTACGTAATTCTTTCAGCTTTGAGGGCTGCTCTGAATGCAGGGCATTTATTTGTATTCACTCTGTGTTCTTTATCCTCACACAGAGGACATTCTTCCTTCTCGCAGTCCTTCGCCTTATGCCCTGGCTTCCCACATTTGAAGCAATGGGTACTTCTGTCCGGCCCGTTGCAATTTTCTTGTGTGTGGTCATATGACCAACACCTCCTGCACCTTTTGATGTTTAGTTTTTTTTCTATATTACATCTCACTATTCCTATCTTCACGTACTCTTTTTCCAATAGGCGCTGTGCTGTATTGTCATCCACTGCTATCGTCACCGCTTTCGTCTTATTACCCATCTCTCTTAGGTCGCTAATCGTAAATCCATTTTCCCAAGCCCCTACAGTCTTAGCTATGGCTTCCGTTACATCTTCCTTAGTCGTATTAGTGGTCATACCTCGGATATATAACACCGTTCCTCTTTCGCCTAGCACCCTGGTTTTTAAACCTGCCATATCCAAAATTTTATGTAGTTTTTGGAACTCTTCCTTCTCTTTGTCAGTCGTTACCAGCATCTTTCCGTCCCTAGTACATCTTACTGTCCGTACCACCTTGGCTGATTCCTGTGCCCCTATTGCTGTTTGGACCTTTTCCAGGACTTCTTTGTATGTCTTTTCTCCGTCTCCTATTATTAAACCTAAGGTGTTTCTTTCCTTTCTCTCCTTCCGGCTCTTGGTTGTATATATTTCCGCTTTAATTTTCTTTTTCCTAAAGATACATTCGACCATTTTCTTCATGCGGGTTACGTCCATTTCTTTTAGATGATGTAGGCAGAGTTTTTCCCCTTCAGTGCATTCCTCTAGAATCCACTCTAGGTCATTCCATAAATCCAGCTCGTTCCTAGTCGTTACAACTTTTGCGATCCTCCTATTTATTGTTAGTTTATTTCTTATTTTCGTAGTCTGCTCCAATATCTCTTTATGTTCCATATCCCCCAATTCTGGGTATTTATCTTTATATAATTTCTGGATGCTTTGATCCATATTGGGGTCGTCTGGTTCTATCATCACCGCCTTGAACGCTTCGTCGTTGTCATTAATAGGATTCCCTATAACCACCCTTGCGCTTTCGAATGCTTCCTCCGGCCATGTTCCGTCCACTATTTCCTGAAATCTCTCATAATTTGTCGCATTTTCGATGTTTTCTGGTGTTATTTCGTTATCCATTGTCTGCGTGCCCATATCTCTAACTTCCCTTTTATCTTCCGTTTGTGTTTCCGTTTCTATTAGCATTTTTTCTGCCGTCTCATATTTCTTGTCCTCCAGCCATTTTCTAATTATCTCTTTCTCAAAGTTGTTAGAGTTTCTTTTAATTTGTACTGATAGCTCTTTTATTTTCCTCAGCGTATTCGGGTTTTCTGTTATCAGCCTATCCAATTCCTCTATCAACTTCGTGTTCCTTTGAATCGCTTCATTTAGTAAGAATACCTCGGTGCATTCCTTCTTCTTATATGCTCCTTGTATGCTCACCAATGCTACGTCGTCATCTGTGCCTATTGAGGTATCGAACAGCTTCCTCTTCCCTACTCTCGTTGGCAACGATCCTCTCCTTTGTTCCAGATGGCTGTACCTTAAAGATGCTGGACCACCTTCTATTGCGCGTATTCTAGTCGAATTTTTGCCCCCCCCAGAATCCGTGGGGCAGCCTGCTTGCGCAGGGGGGGATTCTGGACCATCGGTCCTACCCCCCTGGGGTACCTTATGTTTTAAGTCCGACATATCATAAAATACGATGGTTTTCTGTCAGGGTTTTCCTTCCCTTAGCCCACTAATTCCAGTTATTTGTTTCAGACGCCGGAAGCTCGCCATAACCCTTCTCCGTTGGCTCCGAGACGTACTCCCACAGCACGCCCCGGATTTCCAGGGACCACCACGAGGAGGTGGAGATAGGATCTGCCGGTTCGTCCACACAGGACTGCGGGCTCAGCGTTTTATTGCACGGTAAGTATGGGCACCCTACCGCACCTACTGAGACCCACTGGGTCAGCCCAGACCCAAAACCCGGCCATTTGGTCCCCACCCTACCCTACCCTACCCTACCCTACCCTACCCTACCCTACCCTACCCTACCCTACCCTACCCTACCCTACCCTACCCTACCCTACCCTACCCTACCCTACCCTACCCTACCCTACCCTACCCTACCCTACCCTACCCTTTTTTTTTTTTTTTTTTTTTTTTTTTTTTTTTTTTTTTTTTTTGGTGAGGAGTAAAAAATGCATTTACGCACACCCCTGCTGTTGGTCGGCAGGGGTAGTGTGGGACTCTAAGTCGCATAATACCCACTAAAAACATCTCCTCTCTTCCTTCGCACACTCCAGTTACTTTATCGAGCCGACGGTATAATCATTACGACATCCATCGCCGACCCATAAAGTTTATCTTCGGTTTCCTTGTCTTCTATACGCTTGTTCTTCTCTTTCCTCTTCTTCCTTCTTCTTCATAACTTCGTTTAGAAATTTAAAGACATCCTCGAAATTTTGCCTCTTCTCAATCATTATATTAATTATATTATCGGCATTTAGGGATCTGTCCAAACCTGCTTCCACTTCCCTTCTTTGTGTTTCCCATCTTGGGCACTCGAACACGGTGTGTTCCGGCGTATCTGTAGCTCTGCAGTAGCTGCAAGTTTCATCGTCTCGTTTTCCTATTCTTTTCGTATATGTATTGAAGGACCCATGTCCACTGAGGAACTGTGTTACATAATAGTTTACACGTTTGTGTTTACAGTTGTACCACTCTGCTACGTTCTTTATAAGTCTTTTGGTCCACTGACTAGTTACTTCATGATTCTCCCACCTTTCCTGCCATTTCCTCAGTGTATCTTGTCTACGTTCCTCTTTGTTGTAACTACCTGTCTCCATCCTTTCTTCTATTAGCAGGTCTATTGGTACTATGCCCGCAATGACGCATGCTCCCTCTGTTGCAACCGTCCTGTACCCCTCTATCACTCTAAGCATTAGCTTTCTGTGAGTACTTAGTACCATTTCCCGGTATCTTCGGTATGTCACCATGGCTCCCCAGACCTCAGCTCCATACGTCGATATTGATTGCGCCACATTGTAATAGAGTACCCTCTTATAACTGCTTGGACCTCTCGTGTTTGGTAGAATCCTTGATAGTGCCGTTGTTAATGTTGTCACTTTTTCCCTCGTTTTTTTTAGGTGATTCCTAAATGATCCTCCCTTATCGATCCATATGCCCAGATACCTGAGATAGTCGACCGTTTCTATCCTTTGCCCTTCTAGCATAAAATTAACTCCATCTTTGTTTCTCCCTCCCTTTATAACTATAGCTTCAGTTTTTTCTACTGCCAATTCGAGTTTATTTTCCTGGATCCACTTTGATATTTTGCCTAGTGCCTCGTTTCCTTTTAGGTTTAGTTCTCGCTTCTCCTTCGCCGATATTAGTATAGCTAGATCGTCCGCATATGCTATGCTGCAAGCTCCTTTCGGTAATTTTAGCTTAAGTACTGGGTCGAACAAGACGTTCCATAGCAGAGGACCCAGAACGGATCCCTGTGGAACACCTTTCGTGATCTTCAAATATTTTCGATCTACGGTGACTTTCCTGCCTTGGAAATAGCTGCTTACCAACGCTATTAGGTACTCCGATATTCCGATGTTTTCTAGTCGCTCGATTATGATTTTCCACGATGCTGTGTTGAAGGCATTTTTTATGTCTAACGTGATCAATGCAGCCCATTTATCCCCGTTTTCATTTTTCCTTCGCATAACTTCCATGACCGCGCATGTTGCCGATTTCCCTTTTCTGAAGCCATATTGTAAATCCGATATTCCCTTTTTCTGGTCTAACTCTTCTTCCAATCTATTTTTTATTATCCCTTCATATACTTTTGCAATCACATTTATTAAACATATGGGTCGGTACTTCTGTTCGTTGGGAACACTCGCCACTCCTTTCGGTATCAACACCACTTTAGATTTTTTGAATTCTGCTGGAAATATTTTTTGTCTTATGTAGTTGTTCATTTGTTTTAGAATTGTATTCGCTTTGCATTTTATGACCGCTTTGATGGTTTCTGGGTATAGGCCGTCTATACCTGGGGCCCTGTTCTCTTTTACCTTGCAGGTTGCCTCTTCTAGTTCATCCATCGTTATTCTAGGAGCTTTTTTGTTCGTTTTGAAGATTTTTAGGTCTTCGCTATCTGCTGGGAATAGTGTTTTAGTTATCGATACTTTCTCCTCCGAAACCATTTCGTATGGCAAGCTTTGCTTTTTCAGCCTTCTTATCGCGATCTTATATCCCTCCCCCCAAATGTCATTGTCAAGTTCTACGCATAGTTGTTTCCAGTTGTCATTCTTTGATTTTCTTATGAGGTATTTGTAGTTTCTTCGGGCTTCTTTGTATGTTCTTTCGATTTCTATTTTATTTTGATTTTTGTTCTTTCTTTGTAGTTGTCGTCTGTGTTTGTTACACTCTTCCCTCGCGCACTCTATGTCACTATTCCACCAATACGGTTGTTGGGATCTATTTCTAGCTGCTCCGAACAGACTCGCTTCTTGCAGGTTCCTTAGCTCCTTCATAAGTTTGTGATATTTTATGGTTTTATTTTCCGTTAGTAGTTCCTCCAATTTAGCTTTGTTGATCTTGCTTTTTATGTGTTCATCTCTGTGTGGATCTTTTTTCTCTCCTTTTATTTCGAAGTATATATATCTATGTAAACTCATAGACTCCTCCAGTGAGACCTCCCAGTTTTCTACTCGTCTAGCAAGCCTGCTCGTTGTCATGGTGACATCGATATAGGATTCCGTTTCCCCCCTCACAAAGGTGGGGATTCCTCCTTTGTTGTGCACGGTTAGGTCCAGTGATTCGATATGCTCTTCCCAGAAGGTTCCTCGTTGATCATTTTTTGGCGATCCCCACTTATCCGATTTTGCATTTAGGTCTCCAAGCAGGAGTACTTCCTTTGTTCTATCGATGTGATCGCAGATCTCGTTTACTTTTTCTTTGTACGTGCTAAATGGAATGTTTGGGGATATATAGCATGCGATTATCGAGATGTCTTCTAATTCGACCTTTATAAAACTAGTCCCGCTGATAACGTTCTTAACTTTTTTCTGTCTTCTGCTTCGTATTTTCATGCCGATGTCCTTGTTTTGATCTGAGATCCAACCACTTTTTGAGACGATTTTTTTATTAGGTTCACTTATAATAAGTATATCAATTCCTTCTTCGCAGCATTTTGCTTCTGTAGTGTCGTGACACGCGTAAGCTCTCCCAGCGTTTACTTGCAGCACCTTTGTCAAGGTCATTTCGAAAATTTGTATAGATAAAACTATTGGTGTAAAAATAAATACGTAAAACTATAAGTGTATATAAAAATAAATAAAAATAAAGACTACTGGCTACTGAGCGACAGTGGATTCCCGCTGTCTTGTTTCCTCTTCAGTCCATTGTCTCACCGCTGGTTCTTCTCCTTCATTTACCGATACCGTTGATATTAATGAGGATTGTCGACTCATGCTTCGGACTTTCTCCCTCGCTTCTTTAATGGCCTTTTTAAAGGATGGGCACTTGAAAGTGCCCGCAATGTGCCCTTTTTCGTTGCATGTTGGACATGCTTCCTCATTTTCGCAGTCCTTCACTGTGTGTCCTTCCTGACCGCACTTAAAGCATCTTGCTGCCTTGGGCTCCTCTTTGCATTCCCTGGTGTAATGATCGTGGGCCCAGCATCTGAGGCATTTTTTAACTTTCACCCTTTTTTCAGTGCGACATCTTATCATCCCGATTTTAATATACGGTCTCGCCAGTATTTTGGTTGCGATCTCTTTGTCGACAATCAGCGTTGCCGCCTGCGTTTTGTTGCTTTGAGGTCTTAGGTCACTTATTTTACAGGTATCGCTTGACCACAGATCGTGTTTTTTCATTATCTCGATTACTTCTTCTTTTTTAATTTTGCCATCCATTCCCCGTAGGTGGATCACTTCTTCTTCGCCCTGATTACCAACTAGTTTTGTGCTGGTACCTGTCTGTGTAGTTATCATCTCCCTTATACTCTTGAGCATATCCTTGTCCTTGTCCATAGTAATGAGCATGCTACCATCCTTCGTACTCCTTATGTTCCTAATAACCTTGGCCATTTCCTTATTTGTTTCTACACTCTCCTTCATTTTTGTCAGGATCTCATCATATCGCTCTTTGCTTTGGTTGATGATAATTCCGTAGGAGTTTCTTTCCCTTTTTTTCACCTCGTTTTCGACTTGCCTCTTTTTCGTTGTAAATATGCCTATTTTGCAGTCGGTGTTGTGGAATATCACTTCCGTTATCTTTCGTAATACTTCTACGGTGACGTCCTCGATATGGTGGAGTGCTATTCGTTTGGCCCCTACGACCTCTTGCCTGAGCCTACATAGTTGATCCCATATATTTTCTAGGGTCCCGTCGTGTATAATCTTTATGATTATTTTCTTGACCTCCGCTTTCGGTGATAGTGTTTTGTAAACGGTACTCTGTTCCATTACTTCAAAGTCTCCTTCTAGCTGACAGAATTCTGGGAACTTTTCCTTATAAAGTCTCTGAACGCTAGAGTTCATTTCCCTGTCCTTTGGTTCCACCAGTACAACTTTAACCACCTCGTCATTCGTGAGAATGGGGTTTCCTATTATCACCTCTGTTTTTTGGTAGACATCGTCCGACCATTTGTTTTCGAGGATATTTTGAAGGCTCTCCAGTGTGTCGATGTCATCTATCGAGCTGATCTCGTCATTAGCCGTGGTCTGGGTGGCCATGCTGCATGTGCCTGTTGAGGTCTGGGTGTCCGCGTCGAGCAACATTTTGTCAGCTGCTTCGTATCTAATTTTTTCTAGTAGGTTTTTTATTGTTTCCCTTTCGAAAGTAGTCACAGCGTATTTGAGTTTAAGCGCTATATCTCTGATGCCTCGTTGTGTGTTAGGCGTTTCGGTGATCTTTTTATCTAGTTCCTCGACGAGCTTTTTTGTTCTATTAATCGCTTCTATTAGGCATGCCGCTTCGGGGCTTTCGACTTTTTTATACGGGTTTTCATCCCGTCCACCTTCGATCTTCTTTCTCTTCTTTCCGCATTCCGCGGATGAAAGGGAATTGCATCGTTGCAGGTTTCCTTCTTCTACGTTTAATCTACTAAAGGGTAGAGCTTTTCTACCCTGGTCTGCTTGACCAGTTACGGGCTGGTCATTCCCTGAAGTTTTTGTATTATTTTCTTTGTCCATAGATTGTTCCCACGAGTTGGGCCGAATTAATCAGTCCATCGGGGCAGTGCGCCCGTACCCCGATAAGGCTACTTACTCCGGGAGGTCGCCCGTTATCCCGGAGGCTCCGTTCGCGACCACCTGACGCGTGGCCATCAACCCTTCGGCACGGTTCGCATGACACCTTGGGCTACGGGTTATTTTTTTACAGGGTTTTCCTTCCCTGGACCATGGGCTCCAGATTAGGCGCCGAAGACTCGCCTCTCACCCTTCTCCGTTGGCTACGAGACGTACTCCCAGAGCACGCCCCGCATTGCCTTGGACCACCCCTCGGAGGTGGAGATAGGATTTGCCGGTTCATCCACGAAGGACGAAGGACTTCTCAGCATTTAGCAGCACGGTAAGTATGGACAACCCACCGCACCACTGAGGTCCATCCCGACCCTTTGGTCCCGTGGGTTTTTTTTCAGGGTTTTCCTTCCCTTAGCCAATTCGTTCCCGATATGGCGCCGGAAATCGCCTTTCACCCTTCTCCGTTGGCTACGTGACGCGCATCATTAGATGCGGAACACGCATTACCAGGGTCCACCACGAGGAGGTGGAGATAGGATTTGCCGGTATGTCTTTTCAAGGCTATCTCGGCAGTCCCTCACGGGGGCCCCAACCGCAGACCCTCATGGGACTGCAACCGCGGGCCCCCGCGGGACTGTCTCGACAGTCCTTTTCAGGACTATCTCAACAGTCCTTCTCAGGACTATCTCAACAGCCTTTTCGAGACACTGGGCCGCAATAGGGCGCCTTTGGGCGTTACTCGAGTTTTAATGCGTCCCGGACATTGGCAATCCGAAACACCTCGAGACCCGGGTACCAGCCATTTGGACCCCACCCTACCCTACCCTACCCTACCCTACCCTACCCTACCCTACCCTACCCTACCCTACCCTACCCTACCCTACCCTACCCTACCCTACCCTACCCTACCCTACCCTACCCTACCCTACCCTACCCTTTTTTTTTTTTTTTTTTTTTTTTTTATTTTAAGACAGGAAAAAATGCATTTACGCACGCCCGGCCTGTTGTTGTGCGGCCGGGGAGTGTGGGACTCAGGCTTCAATACCCACTAAAAAAACCTGTCTTCCTTACCTGCCAGAGGAGACCAACTGGATTCACCATGCGGCATACTACAGTTGACCTCGGCACTCCTTTTATCCCATCATCGTCCTTTCATCTACTTCCTTTGTTTTTAGAACAGTCTCTACCATTTTCTCTATGGCCTTCCAGTTACTGGGATTCTTCATCATCACCTCCACCAAATTCTCCGCTGTCAGCTCCACCCCGACTCCTTTCTCTGTTTTTCCCCTTTCCTCTCTCCATCGATCGCAATGAAACATTGTGTGTTCGGCCGTGTCCTCCTTGTCGCAGTACAAGCAAGTGCTGTCGTCGGTTTTTTTTATTCTTTTAACGTAAGATCTAAAGCAACCGTGTCCCGTAAGCATCTGGGTGAGGTAGAAGTTGGTTCTCCTATGCCTGCACTCATACCATTTCCTCAAATCCCTTATCAGCTTTCTTGTCCATCCTGCCACGTCCTCCTCTTGCCTCCATCTATCCGCCCACTTTGCAAGAGTTATTTCTCTCTCCATCCCTTTTATGGATTCTCCTTGATCTTTTCCTTGCCACATTCTACTTCTTTCGTCTGCCAACAGGTCAATGGGAATCACCCCCCCTACCACATAGAGAGCCTCCGTTGAAGCTGTTACATAAGCACTCGTGACATGAATTAGAAGCTTACGTTGCACCGTATTAATCGCCATTCTATACCTGCTAAATCTTAGCGCTTCCGTCCATATTGGGGCGCCGTACAAAACTACCGATTGCAAAACCCCATTTAGCATCCTTCTCTGATCACTTCCTGCTCCGTGAGTCCTAGGCATGATTTTCTTAAGAGCTCCAACGAGTTTCTCCCCTTTATCTATGGCTTTCCTAATATGGTTCGTAAAACGCAGCTTCTCGTCGATCCATATCCCCAAGTACTTGACTTCTTTTTTTGGGTATATCGAGACACCGTCCACCTGAAATTTAACATCGAGTCTTATCTTTTGGCCTCTTACGATAATTGCCTCCGTCTTCTCAGCAGCCAGCTTTAGATCGTTTTTTGTTAACCATTCGTTTATTTCTCTCAGGGCAAAGTTGGTGTTATAGATGAGAATCTCCTTACTAACGGCTTTAGTTATTAGGGCCAGGTCGTCCGCGTATGCCACTGTATAACAGTCGTCCGGTAACATTTGGCGCAATACTCCGTCGTATAAGATGTTCCATAGGGTCGGTCCCAGGACCGAACCCTGTGGAACTCCCTGCGTCATCTTCAGATTTTCAGTTCCGGTCTCTATTTGCCTATTCTTAAAATAGTTCTCTATAGTTTTAATTAGATATTTGCTTATCCCTGCTTCTCTAAGTCGCTTCAAGATTATACTCCACGTTGCAGTGTTGAACGCGTTCTTAATATCTAATAAAACTATAACCGCCCATTTTTTTTTCCCTTCCCTCGCCTTATCTACCACCCATCTGACAGCGTCTATCGTTGACCTTTTTCTTCTGAATCCAAACTGTCTCTCCGCTAGAATCTCTTTCTCTTCTAATTCCTCCTCTAGTCTATTCTTTAACAGATGTTCAAATAATTTCCCGACGACACTCAGCAGGCAGATTGGTCTATACCCTTTCGGAACATCTGGTTGGCTACCGTGTTTTGGGATCAGGACTATGTTGGCAATTTTCCAGCACTCCGGAAACTCTTGTCGGGTTAATTGCTCATTCATTACACTTAATATCTCGTCTGGTATTATTTTTACCGCCTCCTTCAATGCTTCTACCGTAATACAGTCCGGTCCGGGGGATTTTCCGTTTTTGATTTTGCTGACTGCTTTACTCAGCTCATCTCGGGTAAAGATAGGAACATTATGATCCGTCTCACACATTTTCCACTCATCCGTTTTCGTTGGGAACAATTCGGTAACTACGCGGTGTTTTTCTTCTTTGTGCAACAGGTACTGTGATGACAAGCTTCTCAACTTCTTCATAACGATCTTGTATCCTGTTCCCCAGATATCGTCCTCTAGTTCTCCGCACAATGACTTCCACTGCTCTCTTTTCGAAACCTCTATCGCTGTCCTATATTGTTTCTTTAAGTCCCTGTGTTTTATATGTAGTTCATCCTGTACCTCTGCGCTGAGTTTTCTTCCTCTCGCCCTCGTCAGCTGCCTTCTTGCCTTATTACATTTTCCCCTCAGTTCCTCAATCTGAACACACCACCAATACGGCTGTGTTCTCCTTCCCTTTTTGAGACAAGTCGTTGCTGCGTCCTGTGCTATTTTTAAACCCTCCGTTAGTCTTCTTGGGTTTCTTAAGTTCTCCTTTCCTATAAACGCCAAGCACTGCCTAAATTCTTCCTTGTCTATTGGGATGTGTATTCTCCAGTCCAACCTCTTGATTTTTATGTCGATTTCGAAACTGATGTATTTGTGAAGGCTTAAGGATTCCTCCGCTCTCATAACTTCCCAATGCTTAATCTTTCTGCTCGCGGTAGCGGAGATCATTGTTAGGTCTATATGAGACCTTGTGGATCCCCTCTCGAAAGTAGCTTCCCCATTGTTCAATATGGTGAGATTTAACGCGTTCATCCATTCCGACAAATATGTTCCCCTTGCATCATTCGCCCTGGCTCCCCATTCTGTCGATTTTGCATTAAAATCACCAGCAATGATCACCTTCTTCTTTTGCCTTCTAACGTCCGTCATGAGTGCGTCTATGTATTCCTTAAAATCCTCTAGCGTTACGTTTGGCGATATGTAACAATTATACATGCTCCAATCTTCGAGAACGAGTCTAATAAACCCATTACCGCAGTAGTGCGTTATGATACCCACCCCCTTATTCTTCACATTTATCGCGACGTCTCCCTTTACATCCATTAGAAAAACTTTGTTCTTTGCCATGTTCTTATTTGGTTCTTGGAAAAGAATTATATCCACCTTGTCCCTATCCGCCGTCGCATCTGCGGTGTCGTGGGCAGCTCTGGAGCGACCCACATTTATTTGCAGGATCCTCATATTGTCAAGGTGGGGGTATACCCCCTCCCTTGAAGTTTTTCGTGCACCAGACTTCTGTATCTCGGACATCTCATACTATCCGCTCTATGCCCTTCCTTATCGCACGTGGTGCATTTACTACTATTTTTACACTCTGAGGCCTTGTGGTCATCGCCACCGCAGTTATAGCACACGTGCTTTTTCTCCTCTCCCTTACATTCGTTAGTGCGATGTCCTAGCTCTTGGCACTTAAAGCAACGATAGACACTAATTCTTTCCCTCACCACGCATGTTCCCCAGCCCTGTTCCAGTTCCAGCATTCCTCTTTCTACTAACCTTTTGGCTAAAAACTTGTCTAGTGTCACCCAAGCCGTTTGACTCCCTTTATATCCTTCTTTCATAACGATCCTTATATCCCTTTTAAAGTCTGTTCCTGCTACCTGTCTAATTGCCGATTCTAACTGTTCTCCTGTAACGTCCCCGTCAATATCCGATATATGTATTGTTTTAGTTCGGTTAACCATCTCGACTTTATTTTGAACGTTTTGTTTTATAGCTTCTTTAAACCGGTCCGCGATCGCCCTATCTCCTCGGACTTCCAGCAGTAGATCCCCTTTAGCCGTTTTCTGCACAGCTTTAATATCAACGCCTAGTTCTCGTGGATCAACTTTTTGTTTGATTGCTTTCAGCGCGTCCAGGTAAGTACCCTTTTCAGATTTAACAATGATCTTCTCAGTTCCTGTTCCTTCTCCTCTTTGCTCTCGTCCCCCCATTATTGCAGGTAATTTTATACTGGGTCTTCTGGCTAGGCTACCCCTTCGCCCGGCACCCTTTTCATATTTGATTATTTCTATGTCTACCTTCTTCCATCTAAATATATATTCAACTATCTTCCTTACGTAATTCATATCCATTTTTCCCGCCACTATTAAAGATATTTCTTCTACGCCCTCTATTATCGGTTCTTCGCTCAATTTAATACCCATATCGTACACTGCACCTGCATCCGTAAAACCCGATTTATCCATGCTTATGGGTAAGGCAATAGTCCTACTTTTTGTAACTTCGGTTTCCTTTTTACTAGTTACCTCCAATTGTGTTTGTACGTACTCTATTTCACCCATTGTGAGGCCCTCTTCTATAAGTTTATTCAACCCAGGAATTTTATTACTATACCCTATATCCGTTTGGTCTCGCTTCTTATATTCCGGGTCTATAATGATCGCTATCGTCGATCCTGACTTAAAGCTTATGTTGTCTTGGTCTACCTTTTTAACCTTCGTTTTCCGAAATCTTTTTTCATCCCAAGTTACGTCTATCGTATTAAGTAGCCTCTCTTTATCGTTGCCTTCCTCCTCAAATATTTTGTTCACCATATTATTCACTTCCTTCTTTTCCTCCTCGATTTCCTCTATTCTTTCCATTAGCTCTGCCTGCACTCCAATGGATCTCGTAGTTTTTTCAGGTAGCTTCCTTTCCTTAGTGTTTCTTAATTCTTCCCAGTCGGGAATGGAGCCATTCAATCCTTTCACCTGCATTACTAGTACCTTAATTGCCTCCCTCATTTCCGCTTTCGTATTAGGTGTCTGTGACAATATAGCCTCAAGCCTGTTGACTGTTTCGTTGATCTTATCAAACTTATCCTTGAATTCCTGTGCCTCATCCATCTCCCTACATCTTTTTTTTGGCCCTTTAAGGCTCGTAAGAGACGCCGACCTCACCCGTTTAAACAATTCGCATTCCTTTATAGCCCCGGCTCCTTCTGTCCCTGTCCCTTGTTCCTTGCACTTCCTTACAGGGGATCTCGCTAACAACCTGCTTGGTCTAAAAGGACTCTCCTCTTTCTTATTTCCGTCAATTTCCATCGAAAATTTGCTCCCCCCAGAATCCGTGGAGCAGCCTGTCGTAACAGGGTGGGATTCCGGACAATCTGTCCTACCCACCTGGGGTACTTCTGTATTTATTTTCGATTCCATATTCGCGGTTAATTTGGTTTTTTTTCAGGGTTTTCCTTCCCTTAGCCCATGAGCTCCAGATTAGGCGCCAGAGATTCGCCGGTCACCCTTCTCCGTTGGCTCCGAGACGTACACCCACAGCACGCCCCGGATTTCCAGGGACCACCACGAGGAGGAGGAGATAGGATTTGCCGGTTCGTCCACACAGGACTGCGGGCTCAGCGTTTTATTGTACGGTAAGTATGGGCACCCCACCGCACCTACTGAGACCCACTGGGTCAGCCCAGACCCAAAACCCGGCCATTTGGTCCCCTCCCTACCCTACCCTACCCTACCCTACCCTACCCTACCCTACCCTACCCTACCCTACCCTACCCTACCCTACCCTACCCTACCCTACCCTACCCTACCCTACCCTACCCTACCCTACCCTACCCTACCCTACCCTACCCTACCCTACCCTACCCTACCCTACCCTACCCTACCCTACCCTACCCTACCCTACCCTACCCTTTTTTTTTTTTTTTTTTTTTTTTTTTTTTTTACGACAGGAAAAATGCGTTTACGCACACCCCCACAGTTGGTCGGTGGGGGTAGTGTGGGGCTCAGGATTCAATACCCACTAAAAAACCTGTCGGCCCTCTGCCGTTTGGCAATCCCGGAACTATCAATTAAGACTTGTCATCGGGATTACCGGCATGTCTCTCTACATATTGGGTCTTCTCTCGTCTTCTAGTCGTCTAATGATGATTTTTCTTACTAATTCGGTGACTCTCTCCCAGTTTTCTTCGTCTTCGGTTATGACTCTTATAAAATTGTTCTTGGTCAGCTTCGTGTCTATCGCCTTCTCCAACTTCGATCTTTCCTCTACCCACATTCTGCAACTTAAAATCGCATGCTCCGGTGTGTCGAATTCACCACAGTATCGGCATTCGTCTGTCTCTCGTTTCCCTATTCTGATTAGATATGTTCCGAATGAACCATGCCCGGTCAGAAACTGTGTAACGTAATGGTCCACTTTACGGTGTTTGCAGTCCAGCCAGACTTCTATGCTGGGAATGAGTTCCTTGGTCCATTGAGCGGTGTTTGTATGGCGGTCCCAGTGCTCCTGCCACATCGTAATTGTGTGTGCCCTTTCCTCTTTCTTCACTGCTGTTCGGTTATTTTCTTCGCGTAATCTGGCCTGTATCCGGGCCCTCTCGTCTACCAGAAGCGTTATCGGAATCACGCCCGCTATAACGTTTGTGGCCTCCGCTGATGTTGTTCGGTACGCGCTGATAGTTCGTAATAATACCTTCCTTTGACAGGTCCTCAACATATCTCCGTATCTACGGGTGCGGGCTATGGTGTGCCAAACGGGCGCTCCATATAAAAGTATTGAGTGCGTTACACTGCTCATTATAAGCCTCTTACTGCTCCTCGGCCCGTTGAGATTCGGCATAAGTCTGGCTAGTGCCGCGCTCAGTTTATCCGCCTTCTTAATGGTTTCCTTGACGTGTTCATTGTACGCTAGCCGGTCATCGATGTAAATGCCAAGGCATTTACATGTCTTCTTCGGTCTTATCGTCTGCCCGCGTACCTGTACCTCGATGTTTTCCCTATTACGCTGACCTTTAAAAATGACCATCTCCGTTTTTTGTGGAGCCAGCTCTAAGCGGTTATGGTTCATCCAACTCTCTACTTGTACCAAGACGTGGTTTGCCTTGTCCATCAAGTCTTCTTTTGTGTTCGCCCATACGATTAACGAAAGGTCGTCGGCATAGGCCACCAGTTTGCAGCCTGAAGGAACTTCGATCTCTAATATGGAATTGTACAAGACATTCCACAACGTAGGCCCAAGTATCGATCCTTGTGGTACTCCCTGTGTTATCGCCATTTTAAATCCGGGTATACTTATTTTTCTTTCGTCTAGGTAGTTATTTATCAAACGCCGTAGGTATTGGCTTATTCTCGCGTTACTTAGCCGCTCCATTATAATGCTCCACCTAGCCGTATTGAACGCGTTTTTAACGTCAATTGTTATAACTGAGGCCCATTTTTTATCATGTTGTCGTACGATTTCCTGCACTGCATCAACTGTCGATCTGCCCCTGCAAAATCCGAATTGTCTGTTTGAGATGACATTACCTTCGGCCAATTCCGTTTCTAGTCTCGACTTTATTAGGTGTTCGTAAAGTTTGCCAGCCGCATCTAACAGACATATTGGGCGATATTTTGGTTCCGTCCCCGGCTCTGACTTTTTTGGTATTAACACCACCCTTGCCATTTTCCATTTCCTGGGGAATTCTTGCGTCTCGAGCAGTTTATTATAAACTTTCAACACCTGACTTGGCATCACCTCTGCTGCACATTTGATTACTTCCGTCTCGATTCTGTCTGGGCCCGCCGCTTTTCCTTTTTTTAGCTTCCTAGCTGCATTTCGCAATTCTTCTTCCGTAAAAGGAGGTACGCCTCTACATCTGCTAATGCTTCTCCTGGGGTGAATGCATTGCGGAAATAGCTCTCGAATTAATCGTTTCTTCGATTCAAGGTCCATGTTATATTGGGTGCTCGTGCTCTTGATGTATTTGGTTACTATTCGGTATCCCTGACCCCAGACGTCCTCGTTCAGATCTTCGCAAACCCTGTTCCAATGATGTTTTTTGGAATCATAGATGATTTTCTTGTATTCCTTTCTAGTCCTTTTGTAATTTTCTTCCAAAATCTCAAGCTGACTCGAACCAGTTTGCCTAGATTTTGTCCACAGTCTTCTTGCTCTGTTGCATATTTTCCTTGCGGTTTCCACCTGTTCATTCCACCAGTATGGTAGTGCGAAGTTCTGGCTACCCCTGCATCTTATCGAACTTAGATTTTGTGCGCTCTTCAGAGCCTTGATCAGCCCTCCTACGCTTCCTTTGACCTCCTTGCCTGTTAGTTCAAGAGCGTATTGCAGTACGTATTCGTCGATCACGATTTTGCCGGCGTATGGTTTTCTTTTAGCGCAACTGAAGTTCAGGTCAAATGAAATGAACCTGTGCCAACTAAAATTTTCATCTGGCAAGACTTTCCAGTCAGAAACGTTATTTGCAGATCCAGGTGTGGTTATAGTTACGTCTATATACGATTTAGTCGCATTCCTTTGAAAGGTTGGCTCATCGCCTCTGTTTTGAGTAACCAGATCTAAACACGCGATCCATTCCTCCCAGTATCTTCCCCTATTATCCGTAGCAGGTGATCCCCATAGGCTAGACTTAGCGTTAATATCCCCTAGTATTACCGTTTCTTTTTTTCTAGTCCGTACAGTGCACGTGATGTCGTCGACCCTGCGTTTATACGCGTCCAGGCTAATATTCGGTGAGATATAGCATGCAATTATATTAATTTGTTCCAGTTCCAAAATAATGTGGCCTTTTTGTTTTTTCGTTCTTCTAACACCGATATTTTTGTTTATGCACAATATAGCTACGTCCTGAGATTCATCCGTGATCCATTCTGGTCGCTTCGATATATTTTTATTTGGTTCCGAGATTACCAATAAGTCGGCATTTATTTCTATTGCCTTCGCGTAAGCTGCATCATGTGCAATCCTTGCTCGACCCAAGTTTGTTTGGAGAATCCTTATTACCATAACTCGTTGAAAATAATTTATGTAAATATGTATAGATAAAAATATAGTATGTGTATATATAAAATAATAAATAAATAAATAACCTCTAATTATTGGCTGCTAACGGTGTGCCCGTGACAACAGTTCCACTTGTCCCTGACTCATTCCTCACTCGGCTTCTTCTTTCGAATAGAGCTCTTCTTGCTATCGGACAATTCATCGAGTTTGTGGTGTGTCCACCTGTATTACAAACAAGGCAAAACGGGTCGTTTTCGCAGCCTCTTTGCATATGCCCTTCTTGTCCGCACCGCAGGCAACTATTCTTTTTCTCCTGTCCCTTGCAGTCCGTTGCTTTATGACCCAGGTCCCAACATTTAAAACACCTATCTATGTTCTTTCGTTCCTCGATCCTACAATTTACTATCCCGATTTTAATGGTATCCTTTAGCATTGATCTTGCTTCTTTATCTATCGCCAGTGTTATATTTTTTGTGCCGTGCGCCGCTGGTCTCAGTGTCGATAAGGAGAAATTGACGCTCGTCCCCACCGTCATCCGAACTGCCTTCTCCACCTCTTCCTCCGTGGTTACTTGGTCAATTCCTCGTATGTGAAGAACTTTCTGTCTATTTCTGGGTCCCCTAGCCTTAGCTTCCCACTGTGTGTTTTTCTCTAGGATCTCTTTCAACCTAACCCCGCCTCCTGCTTTCACCTTAAATACCAGATCCCCGGCATTCGTCTGTTCTATCCTTCTAATATCCACTTCGTTATTGTTTACCACAACCCTGTCCTTGATCGTCTTTAGCATATCTGCGTAGCTACTTTCGTTTTTTTTTATCATTACCGTATCAAACATTACACCTCTTCTGGCTCTCTTGATTAACTCTGCTGGAGTTATTATACTCGTCTCGATGCCTTTTCTTCGGCCTGACCATTCTAGTAACTTCCTTACTTTTTGTCTATTCGCGCCTCTTGCTATTGCTACGGCGATTGTACTTATGCCAATTTCTTTGAAGGTCGTCATTTGTGTGATAGCGTTTTTCGACTCTGATTCTGTCACTGCCTCCGTTGTCTCCATCGGCAGTATAAAAATATTCTTGTCTATGGTTCTATCTCCTGCTCTAGAGCTAATTTTCTGTGTGTTGTTCATTTTATCTAGCGTCCCCTCGTTCGAATCTAGTATTTCCGTTAACCCTGGGAAAGTTCTTTCCATTTCGTTTATGCTAATCTCGTCGGCTCCTTTATCACTTCCCACTACTAGCAGTGTGTTATTTGCCCTGTAGGCATCAGTGTTTATTTCTACCTCCTTAGTGTTCCTGTATACCTTTTCTGGCCATTGTGTTTCCAATATTCCCCCTAATTCCTCAAAGCTCTCTATCCTATCTAGTTGTTCGCTTATCTCCTTAGCTTCCCTAGTTTCCTCATCTTCGTTTCCGCTTAAATAGGTCTGTGTGCCTATTGTTCTAGTAGCTGGCTCCATTCTCTTTTTTTTCTCCTCCTGAGTAACCACATCCTCGCTTAGATTGCTCAATTTCTTCTGGGCACTATCCGTGTGCTTCTTCAGCTCCTTTATCTTATCCCTAATATCCGCCTGGGTATAATTATGGTGTTCAACTGTTAATCTTATCAGCTGTTCAGCGTTAACGACTATTCTACTAAAATAACTTCTGAATTCTTCCAGGTCTACGGTGCGGTCATCTTGCTTCCTCTTTGAAGGGGTGCCCCCCACTGAGCAGGATCTGGTAGTCCTGCCGGTGGCGATAAACTCCTCCAGTCCGGTCTTCCTAATAACAGGTGGTGACCTAGGAATCTTCGGTCTCCTTATTGCTAATTCTTCGTCAGTCAATACAGGTAAAACTACTTCGGTCTCATCATTTTTCTTTTTAGGTTTATTTTCAGGTTTTTCCATTTGCATCCCACGAGCTGGGCCGAACTCGACAGTCCGCCGGGGCAGTGCGCCCGTACCCCGGTAAGGCCTAAAATCCCCTCCGGGCGGCCTGGTCCTTCGGGCATCGCTCGCGACTCACCATGCCCCCTGAGCCATGCATCCCGTCGGCGCGATGGTGCTACACCTTAGGATTGGGGGGATTTTTTTTCGCAGGTTTACTCCTTCGGGTTATTTTTCTGTCAGGGTTTTCCTTCCCTTAGCCAATAGGTTCCCGTTATGGCGCCGGAAACTCGCCTTCTCCCTTCTCCTTTGGCTACGTGGCGTGTTTCCACACCACGCATTACCAGGGTCCACCACGAGTAGGTGGAGAAAGGATTTGCCGGTAAGTCTTTTCAAGGCTATCTCAACAGTCCTTCTCAGGACTATTTCAACAGCCTTTTCAAGACTATGGGCCGCATATGGGCGCCATCGGGCGTTACTCAAAGTTTTAATGCGTCCCGGACATTGGCAATCCGGAACACCTCTGAGACCCAGGTACCAGCCATTCGGACCCCACCCTACCCTACCCTACCCTACCCTACCCTACCCTACCCTACCCTACCCTACCCTACCCTACCCTACCCTACCCTACCCTACCCTACCCTACCCTACCCTACCCTTTTTTTTTTTTTTTTTTTTTTTTTTTTTTAATGAGGTTTAAAAATGCATTTACGCACGCCCGGTGCAGTTGTTCGGCACCGGGTAGTGTGGGACTCAGGAAGTCAATACCCACTAAAAACAATCCTCTTTATAACTGGCCCATATAACCAAGATATCCGGTACTATCAGTTGATATGTCATCAGACGTCTTGAGGCCTATATTCCCTTCATAGGGATCAACGTCTCTCTTCCTGCTGTCTTAGTCTTTCCTCTCTTTCTTTTTCCTTCATTATTACTGTAATACAGTCCTTTATATTTTCCCAATTCTGCTCATTTGCTATCATCATCTGAATCATGTTATCCATTCTTACTGGCGTTTCAAATTCGTGCTCTAGTCTTCCTCTTTCTCGTGTCCATCTCTGACATTTAAAGAGTGTGTGTTCGACAGTGTCTGTAGGTTCGTCGCAGTATTTGCATCTCTCGTCCTCTTCTATTCCCATCCGTTTCAGATATTGCCCAAACGACCCATGTCCGCTAAGAGTCTGAGTTAAAAAGTAGTTGGTGTTCTTGTGCAGGCACCCTGTCCACTCTTTAATGTTAGGTATAAGCCTTTTCGTGTGTTGTGCAACCTCCGAAGTACCGTTCCACCTTTCCTGCCATTTACGTAAAGTGAATTCTCTTTCTTGTTTCCTAATCGCGTCTGTTATATATTCGCTCTTTCTTCTTGCGTAAAGTCTCATTCTTTCATCTATTTGCAGCTCTATCGGTGGTATCCCAGCTATTGCGTTTACCGCTTCTGTCGATATTGTTCTGTAAGCGTTAATTGTTTTGATGAGCAATTTCCTCTGTATCGATTGCAGCAGGTTTCTATACTTAGCAATAAGGGTTACTTTATGCCAGACTGGTGCTCCATATAATAGAATCGAATGCACAACTGACCCTAGAATGGCTCTTTTGTTTGTAGAAGGCCCACTAATGTTTGGCATCAATTTGGCCAAAGCGACATACGATTTATACGCTTTTTGTACCGTAATCTTCACGTGCTCGCTAAATCTAAGTTTATCGTCGATATGGATTCCTAGGACTTTAACGCTCCTTTTTGGTACGATATCAACGTCTCCCACTCTGAACACTACGTCCTCTTTATTACGCTTTCCGCATATTACAATTGCCTCTGTCTTGTGTGGGGCCATTTCGAGTTGGTTGATGCTTATCCAAAGTCGTATCCAATTTAGGGCAACGTTCGCTTTCTCGATTAATTCTACCTTTGAGTCCGCGCCAACGACCAAGCTGAGGTCATCCGCGTACGCCACCGTTCTCGTGTTGTCTGGCAATTTCATTCCCAGTATTCCATCGTACAGTATGTTCCACAGCACCGGCCCTAGGACCGACCCCTGTGGAACACCCTGCGTCAACGCGACTCTATATCCGGAGATACTTGCTGTTCTGCTATGAAAGTAGCTTCCTATCAGGTTCACCAGGTATTCCGGGACTTTTCGCTCATTCAGGTTTTTTAGGATAAGTCCCCATTTTGCCGTATTAAATGCGTTTTTTATATCGATATTTATTATAGATGTCCATGTTTTGTCATTTACTTTTAAGATGTCTTCTACGGCTTCAATGGCGGACTTACCCTTCCTGAATCCATACTGATTCTGCGATATACTTACCACTCCTTCTATTCGGGCTTTAATCATTTGCTCTAGGAGCTTTCCGAGAGTGTCCAGTAGGCATATTGGTCTATATTTCTCTTCCTGCCATCTACCTTTTGGTATTAAAATGATCCTTGACCTCTTCCACTGCTTTGGGAATCTTTGCTTTCTGAGAATGTCGTTGTAGGTATTTAGTAACTCCTCTGGGATTACGTTTACGGCCATCTTTACCATCTCTGCTGTTATTCCATCTGGTCCCGGTGCTTTTCTGGACTTTAGTTTCGCGGCGGCGTCTAGGAGTTCCGTCATAGAGAAGTTTTCGTATTCGTTGGTGTTTATTAGTGTTCTAGTTTCTTCTCTACACGTGGGAAACAGTTCTTTAATTATTTCTATTTTCTTGAGTAGACATAGGTCATATGGCCGGTTAGAGAACTTCAGATCCCTCGTGGCTATTTTGTATCCCAAACCCCATACGTCATTATCAATTTCATTACGTCGTTCTTCCCAGCACGCTTTCTTGGACCTGTTAATTTCCTTAGCATATTCCCTTTTCGCTGACTTGTATTCTTCATCCAGCATTCTCCATTGCTCACTTCCTTGGGCGGTTTTTCGTTTTCCTCTAGTCCATAGTCTTCTGGCTTGGTTACATCTTCTCCTCTTCTCATTGATGGACTCATTCCACCAGTAGGGCTGATTTTTTGTTTCCTGTGCTTCCCCTTTTAATTGACCAACTTCTTGTGCGTTTTTCAGGTGTCTTGTCAGTGATGCGGGATTTTCCCGTATTTTGTGTCTCATCATTTCCAAGACAATTTTCGATGTTTCTAGGTCAGTTGTAGGCACGTTCCGGAAGAATTGCATTTTTTTCTTTTTGCTTACTATCTGAATCATTATATATCGGTGTAGGCTTAACGATTCTTCTGTTAGTACTTCCCAGTTTTCTATAGCTGCCATCATGCTGTCATTGGCCAAAGTAACGTCTATGAATGATTCCGTGTTCCCTCTAACAAATGTGGGAGTTTTGCCGTCATTAACGCTGGTCAGATTTAAAGTGTTCATCCACTCTTCAATATAACTCCCTCTCTCGTCCTGCTCGATTGGGCTCCATAGCTGAGACTTCGCGTTAAAGTCCGCTGTAATTAGTATATCGGGATTTTTTTCCCTTTGTACGTCCTGCATGATCCTGTCTACCTTGTTTTCAAAGTCCTCCTTAGTGCAGTTTGGTGATATGTAGCAGTTGTATATCGTCTTGTTTGCTAATACTATTTTAACAAAGCCAGGTCCGCAGCGATGATGTATAATTTCTATCTTCTTGTTTTTTATTTCTATGGCCACCGTTTTGTCAGTATCTTGTATTAGTCCCTTTGTTTCCGATATACGTATATTGTGTTCTTGGAGGAGAATTATATCCACGTTCCTTTTTTTTGCCAGAGCTTCCAATGCGTCGTGTGCCCTTCTTGCCCTTCCTACGTTTATTTGCAGTAGTTTCATATTTCGTTTTATCTTACTATGAACTTCCAAGGATAATAAATAATGCAATATAAATAGATATAAAATAGATATAAAATAGGTATATGGTAAAAAGTAAATATATAAATAGGTATGTGTATAAAATTGACGTCACGAAACACTCACTTAAAATTTATTCTATAGGTGGATCTCTAGCCTCATGCGGCAGTTGCCTATTGGTTTGTTCTTCTTCGGTCCATTCTATTTTTTCTCCTAGTTCCTCTCCTTCTGTTGCTGATATCGTCGATAGTCTGGAGTTTTGCCTTCCCATTCCTTTACTTTTTTCCCTTGCCTCTTTCAATGCTTTTTTAAATGCAGGACATTTAAACGTACCTGCAACATGACCCTTTTCGTTGCACGTTGGGCACTCTTCTTCATTGTTGCAGTCTTTCACGACATGCCCTTCTTGGCCGCATTTGAAACACCGGTCCACCCTTGCTTCCTTTTGGCACTCCCTTGTATAATGGTCATGCGACCAGCATCTTACGCACTTCTTTATCTTATATTTTTTTTCTATGTTGCACCTCACAATACCCACTTTAACGTATTCTACGCTCCTCAGTTTGGTTGCCGTTTCCTTGTCTGTTATGATTGTAGCTGCCTGCGTGTTATTAGCTTGTGGTCTGAGCTCTGATATTGTTGTGTTGTACTCGTTCCACATTCCCTGTTTTTTCAAAGCGTCTATTACATCTTCCTTGTTTGTTCTGCTGTCCATCCCTCTAATATATAAGATTTCCTGACTTCCTTCCACGCCTAGTTGTTTCGTGACTATTCCCGCCTCCTTGTTAAGTGCTTGACTCATATTTTTTAATACTTCGATGTCCTTGTCCATTGTGATTAACAGTTTTCCGTCCCTCGTACTTTTAACGTTCCTTACCGCATCCACCATTTTTTTATCCGCCCCGACTATTTCTCTTACCTTTAGTAATGCGTCTTTGTATTGTCCGTTATTTTCCTTGACTATTATCCCAAAAGTCTTCCTTTCTCTCCGGGATCCCTCCTTCTCGTCGTCTTTTCTCCTTCTCGTTGTAAAAATACCGACCTTTGTTTGTGTGCCGTTGAATACCGCTTCGCATATTTTCTTTAGCCTGTTAGTTGGTATTTTTTCTATGTGGTG